GTCTAAATTTATTTGTTACAATTTTTTATTTTGGATGACTTTAAAAGCTTCATTCTATTTTTTTAATTAAATTTTTGTAATAAATGTTTATTAAAAAGGGACAAAAACAAATTTTAATGGACAAAAATGTACGGTAATAATTAAAAATAGATAGAGATAATAATATCACTGCATTTATTTTATTTTTCATTATAAATTATACAATAAAATATAATTTCTCTTTTATTTTATTAACCATTTTACCCACATACGAAATTACAATTTCTTACTTTATTCCGAAAAAAAATAAAAGAAGAGGCCAGTAGTAAATCGCTACATGTCTATTCCCTAAAATAGCGGGAGGGCTGCTTGCCTCAATGATTTTCCATGACATTTCTGACTTGACATTTGTTCATAGAGCAGTGCTAGGGGCACTCGCTTTCAGCACTCTCCGGCCAACACTTCCTCTTTCATTGGGCCACGTAAGCTTCTTTAAAGCTTTCAGGCAGACCTGTCAAAAACCAAAATAACGTGGCCGAATAAAAGAGAAAGTGTTGGCCGGAGAGTCCAGAAAGCGAGTGACCCTAGCATTGCTCTTTGTTCATATTCAAAATAAGGGCCAATGATTAGCATTGCTTTTCTAGTTTTCTTTCCTTCTTCTTTCCTTTTTTTTTTTTTGGTTAAAAGCCTCGTCCCTCTACTTTTATGTTTTGTTCATGTCCATTCTTATACTAACAAATTATTTATGATCGTCCCTTTACTCCCCAAACACGAGACAACATCTTCGCTCTACACTCTATTTTGATATTTTCTGTTCTATGTTGTCCTTATTTGGACGCCATTAATGGAATTGTTTGTTTTGACCATTAATTGTCTAATGGTAAAAAAATAACCCAATGTACTTTAATAATTATCTTGTATAGTTCTGATGAGTGGAGACCATGCGCCCATATCCACGTCAGCCCATGAAAATGCATTTTTCTTCTTTAAAAAACATTTTGAGACATGTGGGACGCGCTCCCCTCTTTTTTCAAAACCAAAGAGACAATTAATTCATCTTAAAGCATGTAGAATGAAATTCAATAAAAAGTTTACTTTAGTATTCATCATAATAGGTATTATTTTATATAAAATTACATTTTATGTTTTTAATTGGTAAATAAAATATTTAAGAAAATATTATTTTTAATATATATTTTAAAAATCATATTAATATCATTTCATTTAAAATATATCTTTTATATTCAAAT